ATTGATGCCACTCACAAGACCAATAATGAAGGACGCCCCCTTCTGCTTATTTGCGGGAGGGATAGTGCCGGCAAGGCTTTTGTGGTCATCCATGTTTTCATGCCAAACGAGTCACAAGCTTTCTACCAATGGATATTCTTACAGGCACTGCCAGCTATGCTTGGTGTTAGAAATCTAAAACGAGTGCACCTTATATTGACAGACGGAGATGCAAGTGAGTATAATGCTGTTGATCAATCCATCTTTTGTTATGTGAAGAATGCGATTTGGGGCAGATGTGGGCACCACCTCATAGAAAAAACATTCTTGAAACATGGCCCAAAAGATAATGAGGTGAAAAACCTATCTAATGGACAAGCCATTCTACTAAAGGTCCGGAGATGGGTTAGATCTTGGATTGACGGGACTTCCTGCCGCAGTAAGAAGGAGTATGAATTCTCCAAGGCTCTCCTGCTACAAGAACTCCAAACAAACTCTGTACTCCGGCGATTTGTTGGAAACAAGGCTGCAGAAAAATGTGTAGGATGGATCCTTAATCACATTGTTACACTCAATGACCAGCAGTTTACCTTTCATTGCAAGAACAAAATTTGGTGCTTACACAAGTACACTACCAATGCTACTGAGGGCATGAACTATGCAGCGAAGCACAGTGGCATGTCAGCACAGCCACGAAATGACATGAAGACCTCTGCCTCCAATATGTCAGCACATATGGATATCAAAAGTCGGGACCGGGAGTATACCCAAATGCGAATGACCAACTCTACACCTTTGTATTTTGCAACAGACTTGAGGGTTCACAATATAGAATACGTGAAAGCTCTTGTACCAATTGCCAATTCCACCATAAATGGAGGAAGCTATTGACAAGTACACAGTTGTATAACTATCAAGAAAAGCCTTTTTTGTAATTTGGGCAGTCCCCCCTAAAGGTGGTGTCCAATGTCCAGCAGGTTTCAAAGGACGACCAAAGTTTTGGACTGCTCACAGGTTCGAAGTTGAAACATGCACAGGCGACAGATCCAGGGTAGTGCTTATCTGTTCTTGCGGTTTTGGACATCAGTATGGTATTCCCTGTAGGCACTTGTTAGCCGTGGAAAGGAAGTACAACATCAACAATTTTGCTTGTCGCTGGAGGTCAGATTATGCCTTCTATGCATACAAAGAGGGACATGAGGCCATCACCCAAAGTTTTGTCGAGCTGCAAAAGAGGGAACATTTTGGGATAGTGGTGAAGACACTATCTTTGTTGGACAATATCTTAAGCACAGACCGAAGTGCTATCTTTCCCTCTGTACTTACAAAGGCAACATGTTGCAAATCAACAATTGATGAACTTGTGGATGTATATCTAAGTCCTACTCCACGTTGTTGGAACTACACACTGAGTGAATATCCCAATAACAACAAGTTCTACCCCTCTCCATTGAGAACAAATGCATACCACACTGTTGAGACATGTTCACCAGCAGACTATGGCAATAGCGATTTTGGACAGGATGACAATAGCGACTATGATGAACAGGGAGAGTCGGACGATGCCGCACTTGCCTTCAACGTGAACCAGCTTTGCCTGCAACAACCAAAAGAGAACAATGCCAAAACTCAAGAGCATACAATTTTCAAAAATTTAAAGACATTGACCGTAATTGTATGAATCAGAGAGACCTGGATTTTGTTAGAGAACAAATGGAGGCAATTGAAAAGGAGCTCTTCCAGAGGAAAGCCATGGCCATGAAAAAAAGCCAAAAACGCGCATTCCTTGGAGCAACAAATGGGACAACAATGCACCCAAGCTGAGAGCCATTTGAATTGAGCGGTTGCATCCAGTTCATTCAAGTCATGTGATTGTTGATTTAGTTTCCATGACTCCTTGTGGAAGTTCAAGTAGTGCAGAGCATTTGCCAGAGAAAAACCAAGGCAACAATCGCTATCGCCTTGAACATAGGCAAGCATTTTCATCTGGTCCCCATTTTTTAAATTTGAGAAGACAGTGGTTCGGGGCAACATCCAAGTTGCTATCTCCCAGTGGAACAAAGAATGAGGGTTGATTAATACCCCTAGAAGAACACCTTTCTCCATAAGCAATGCATTTTTCAACAAATCCTTTACCAAGATAATGTTTGACATAGGCAACTGTCACATTTGAAACAAAAATCCTGCTCTTTGTTCGAGATCCTAGCATAAGCCTGAATGTGGGCTCGGTTTTGTCTGTATTGGGTGGCTCATATCTGATCTTCCAAATTTCGGTAGTATCGCACTTTTGTGGGTTTGGCGCTTGAATGTTATGTTTTGTTAAGAATTCTGAAACATTGTGGTCTACTGGGCCATATTGATCCTTCAATGCCTGATTGTACTCGCTTCTAGCCTTTTCAGTTCGATTCTGGAACTGCCTAGCTGATTCTCGACGTCCTTTGGGTTGCAACGATTTCTTGTCAAAATTACCTAGAACTCCATCAAACTTTTCTATAACCTCTTCAGACTCGTCAACTGCAAGGATAGCTTGCAGCTCCTTCTTCATTCTCAGCTGTGTTGCCCAACTTCGCTGACCCTCCTGACTGTCTGGTCTTCTTGTTCTCTTTGGTGAAGATGGCTTCCAATAGTCATAAGTTGACTCTTTGGATTCAGTGGATGGAGATTGTGGGGGCATTTTTGCTGCAGCAGAAGTGGAAGGTCGTGTTGGTGGTGGTAGTGGCGGTTTGGCGGCAACAGCTGTAGATGGCTTCCCATAGTCTAATGTTGACTCTTTGGATTCAGTGGATGGAGCTTGTGGGGGCCTTTCGCTGCAGCAGAAGTGGAAGGTTGTGGTGGTGGTGCTGGCAGTTTGGCGGCAACAGCTGTTCTTCTTCTCTTTGGCAAAGATGGCTTCCAATAGTCCAAAGTGGAAGAAGCTTTTTTGCAGCAACAGAAGGGGAAGCTCTTGCAGGCCTTTTTGCAGCATCAGAAGTGGAAGCTGAAGCTCGTGCGGAAGCGGTGGAAGGTTGTGCGGCTGCTTCTTCAGACTCCTCTAGTAATCCATTCAAGAAGCAAACATAGGGAGGCACAGCATTAAAGACAGTGCAAGCAACATGTCCAAAAATTAGCCAGTTCTCATCATAGTGACGTCCCTGTATTGGGAAGAATTTTAATTTCAATTTGCATACAAATTTGTCGGCATCGTGATGGGCCGTAAGCCTGCTCCTATACCAGGCATCCAAGGGTTCCATTCAAGGACTTTTCTTCTTTCGTTTTGATTGGGATTGTGTGTTCAATCTTTGTCTAGCAGATACCAAATTCAAATTGACCTTCCCTTCCTTCTTGATTCGTCGCAGAGCAGTAGCATTCCTACCTGTAGACCGTCCAGACATCTTAATTACTTCACTGCACCAAGTCTCCAACTGTTAGAATAAAGCAAAATGTGCTCTATCGTGAGTGCCTTTAGCGCTCAGAACAAACTCTCTGCAATCTAAATTTGTAATAGACTGTACAACACTTTCACGACAATAGTTCTCCTGTGTCTAGGTATACTTTGAGTGAAATTGTTCCTATTTGATTAATGTTTGGCTTGAATTGATGATTCAATCACAAAAGTGAGTTCAACGATTTT